TGTTGTAGAGTAGTTTTGTCAGTGGAGGCTTGTATTTCACTAAGTCGTCCTAAAAGGGTCCGACGTACAAAATGTTAGGAACTTGAAATAAGAGTTAATGACGCAGCAATCTAGTTGTGATGGTTGATACTCCAATGTCCGACATCGACTGACTCGCTCAACACCACTGAGCCCAACTGGCTACCGCTACTACTACTACTACTTATTATGTGTGGGAGAGTCTATTAATAATAGAATATGTACGTCAGGTATAACATACTCACAGGACAGATTGAAGGTAAGAGGAAGAAAAAAATTCATAACGTGCCTACTGTAGTTGAGCAAATGGATGGCGAAACAAGGTTCAGGAAATAATAAAAAAACAATATATGTTAAGAGCTACAAAGGCTAGGAAATTGCGGAGAGCCATGACCGACAACGAGCTGAAGGGACACGGCACATAGAAGAAGAATTTACTGCAATTACTAAAAGCCAATTATGAATGTGTGTCTTTATGGGATTTGATAGAGTGTACTAAGAAAAATTAAAAAATGTGAAGACTTTATGGCGTATATCTAAAGTTGAGAAGCACTTATAGAAAATGTTGAGAATCGAAAATAAAGCTAAAAGCTACTGTCTGCAATATTATCCGTTTTTTAAAAAAAAAAGAGCGGAAAGTAGATAATCTGGAAAGAAAACGGAAAAATGTAAACAAAACAATGAGAATGAAGACAAAAGTGTGAATTTTTTTTTCATTTTAAAATGACAAAACAAAGACGTGAGTGAAAAGCGATAATAAACTGGAAGAATTCAAAACGCAAATGGAAGAAAAGGAAACGAAGAAAAAAAAAAGTAAGAAAGAAAAAACAAAAAAAAAAGAAAAGAAAAAGAGAAAGGTAAAAATAAAACAAATGGCAAGAGGAGGAAAGAAATCTGATGAACAGATGCAAATAAACAAAAAATAAACAGAGAAAAGTAGGAAAAGAATTGTGGAAAAACAAGCATTGTGTAAAAGTAATCGCTCACGCGGACACACATATACGCATATTCGAATACCTGGATATATCATTAGAGATATGGTTATTGAAAAGCTTTTATGTTCAATATATATATATATATATATATATATATATATATATATATATATATATATATATATGTATGAATAGATATATATATAAATATACATACAGTGTAACCCGGATATAAGAGAAACCCGGATATAAAGAGATTTTCTCTGGTCCCAAATTAGAGCCTGTGTTAATGTATATAAAAAAATAGACCAAACCGGATATAGAGAAGCCCGGATATAAGAGACTTCTTCTCCGGTCCCGACAACTCTCTTACATCCGGGTTACACTGTATATGGTTATTCAAAAGGTTTATGTTCAATATATATATATATATATATATATATATATATATATAATAGCTGGCCACTCGTATTCGATAATACACGTCTACTAGGGCGGCTAGCCAATCCCTATTGCAGACTCCCGATCAGGCACATTTTTATTTGTTCAACACGAACAGAGCCTACTTGTGTTTTATACTGCAACTATCCTGAGTAGACCGTAGTTACAGTTTCTGGGAGAGAGACTATTACGTAGAATTAGCAAAAATTTGAACACTAGCACACTCAAACTTTCGGTCACGATGACTTCTGACTTCGTGCTAGGACAGCTATCGACGGCTCCAAAGTGTTCCATCTACCCAATTTCATTCACAAGTCTTGGGTCAACCCATGTTATGGTTTTCAGGCACGCTGGGGTAGGTCGAAAATATATAAATTATATATATATATATATATATATATATATATATATATATAATATGTATTTTTATTTTTTACATGTGGATGAGGTTATTATGCTTGTATTTTCTATTAGTATGTTTCAGATGGACTCTGGTAAGTTTGTGTGTGTGTTTAACTGGGCCATTATGTTGCTGTGGTGGGATAGGTTAGTAGTCTGTATAGTTATGTAGTCGTATGATCGATGTAATCATTTATGTTCATTAAGAGTCATAGTGATAGCAGACACGGAAAAGAAATTGCAAAACTTCCTACAGAAGGTAGCGAAAGAGAGCGAGAAGAAGGGGTTAAGCATGAACTACAAGATAGAATTCATGGTCATCAGTAAAAGGGCGAGCCCTAAATGCGAAAATGAAGGTCGGAGACACTAAATTAAAGCAGGTGCGGATGCTTAAATATCTGGGAAGTGTTTTGACGAATGGGAACATTCGATTCCCCACATTAAAAACCAATCCTTTGTCACAACCTGACTCAGTGAAGTGGGGTAAAACTCGGGCATATATATACAATTGTTTCTTTGAGATATTTGCTTAAAAATGGTATTACCGATAACGTTGTCATCAAAAGACTTCGATAGGTTTAAACATTTTGATATGTGTTTATTTTCTCTATAGTGTTTGGGATTTAAACAAATTGATAGTTGCCGAATTTTCATGTTTAAAATTTATTATCTTCCCAAGGATGTAGGGTGAATTGTGGGATTGCTTTTGTTTGCTCGCGCCTAGAATATTACTGCCATATATGGCCAGGTGTCCCTACTATTTACCTTGAACTCAATGATAAGATCCAAAGAAGAATCTGCAATATTATTGGTCAGGATCTAGCGGCTCAGCTCTAGTCACTTTCCCACCGCCGTATGGTTGCTTCTTTTCTATAAATACTTTCATGTTAATTGTTCGGATGAGCTCTTCGCTATTGTACCTAAAGCTTTTGAATTTAAGCGTTGCACTAGCCTGGTCTGGGATCTGTTCCAGCAAGACGGTCGATCTCTCTGCCTTCGGGCAGAGAGGAACCCGGGCGAGGCTCTGCCGAAGGGCAGAGTTTCATTCGGGGAGGTTGACCAACCCGATTCTGTTTTTACAGTTTCTACGGGCATTTTTTTGGCCTAGCCTACGGGCTCGGAAAACCCACGTAAAACTCGGCCTTGTGCCAGATCTTTCCCTCGTGGGGGGGGGGGCAAGTAAATATTGACTAGCCTGGTAACTTGATCTCAACAATTTACAGTTGACCTGGTTAGGTTTAGCCGTAAATTCTCTGCTAACAGTTTCTTCCCTCGCACTTCTCGCTTGTGGGACTCCTTTCCGGCTCCATGCTTTCCAACCGAATTTAATTTCCAAAAAATTAAATGCAGTGTCAATCGCTATCTACTGCTCATCTGATAACTCTCTTCTCTTTCTGCTCATCATTAATGTGTCCGTCCCTAATTCTTCCACACCCCGTAACCCGTTGTGCTTTAGTGGCATTACTGCCTTGCTGGATGATTCCGATTAAAAAAAGGAAAAAGAAAAAGCTGTATAGACAAATCTATCCTCAATGAACTTGGTGAAGTACACATAATTGCCTTCCTCTTGAACTGTCTTTCTTCTGTATTGATTTGGTCTAAATTTTCATTTGCTTATTAAATAGAAAATTTACTTAATAAATCGAAAACCTTTGTGTCCAACCAAATATTTATTTTTTCAGTTATTTTTTTCTAAATCATTTTTCCTTTTTAAACTGTTAGTTCCACCCGTTTACAGGCTGTATATCTCACCGTACTGTGGTAAACGTGATAGCACGTCAGTCGAATGAAAGACTCTTTTTAAAAATAAACTTTATATAATGGTAAGTCTTTAAAAAAATTAAACTCTATAAAAATAAATGAATGTATTGTTAAACATAAAACAAGCAATTTATTTTATTTTTATGAACAAAATCGCAAACATCTTTCTAAAATCGACATTTCGATTTGTTAGATTAAAAAAATATATTATTAAAAATTCCAACACTGCTTACTTCACTTTATACAGCGTTTACTTACCGCCACTTTGAAGTTGTGATCTAAATGCTGAGGTCGTTACTACTTTCAGGACAGAAACTCTCTTAAAAAATAATAAGCGATTTAATGATGAAAGTTATCGACAAAACAATCGATTATTTATTAAAAAAAATAGTAAAATATTATAAACAAAATGAATAAGAAAATGTTGTTAAAATCATTTTCTTATTTATTTTCCAATTTGTAAAAGTGTCGGTGACAAAACCAGCGTATTTTAATAACACAATAAGATGTTCTATATATATAGAGAGAAACTAAGATTTATATATTGGATTACTTAAACTATATCATTATAAATGGTGGCTATTATTAAGTTTATTTGTAATGGCATCAATTATAGCTTCGTCATGAATAATCAATAACTTTTCTTTATTAATTCCATGTTCACGTACAAAAGGAAAAAAAAGTAACAAAAAATTATCACAAAAAAACAAATAAGTATTAATACATCAGCTTCCGAAATACACGTACATACTAATATGTTCAGATAATCTGACTTTATTTCATCACTTTTGGAGTTAAGTAATGCTTCACATTACCTTAACAACGGAACATCTCATTACAAAGGAAAGAAGAGAAGAGGCTGCTTGACAAACAAGTATATAATCACAATCATAGATTATGAAAGTATTTAATTTTTGATAGTGACTATAGATGCTTTACTCTGCCCGTTGGTAAATTAGCTGTGTATTTTCCACTGGTGTGGGAATTTGGTGCGCGTGTCCAGGATCTTGAATGCTGATTTTCATCGTAGCTCTACCCTAACACACAATATAATAAAAACGTGTCCCAAAAACGTGTGTTACTAAATGTTAATGCTGGTTCGAAAATAGCATTAAGCGCTAGTTAGTTTATAACAGCAACAATAGGGACAGACACTTCAGGGTTTTGCAGTTGATTGATTGATTAATACGTTTTTCTATGGCTTATCAACTTTTTGTAGGCAATTTAATTTTAAAAAATATTATTAGATTCTAAGTATTTTGTGGGGAGATAATGATGGTTTAGTGATACAATCCTTACTAATTAACCCATAGCTGAGGAAAGAGGTGGGATCACACCTTTCCCAAGGGTATTTTTGAGCGTAATATAACGAACCCAACGAGCATTGGAACTGGGGTCTCCGCTTAATTCTGAGCCATTATCTATTACACCGGCCACACATTCCAGCTTACAGCACCTCGTATTCCCAAGCGGTCACCCATCTAGGTACTGACCATTCTCAATCGTTGCTTAACTTCGACGATCATACGAGAATCGATTTTTAAACGCGGTATGGCCGTAAGCCTCGACGAATGAAGTTGGGTCCTAAGTAATTTTCCGTTTCAACGTAAATGTGACTTGTATGCTTCATGGCGTTTCGAGAACTTAGATGTACATCGACAGTAGGTAATTTCGGTTTCATAAAATCAGTAGGTCAATAGCAGCGGAAGTGTTAACAAACTCTGTGTATATTTTACACGCAATCACAGAAGCAGTGATACGCATGAATTTACGAGAGTTTGCTGAAAAGTTTCCGGTTTTCTCAACTTAAAATCTTAGCAAATAAATTTAAACAGCTTAATTTTTTTAATCGCTTTCTGGTAGAGCTGAGAACCTTTCAACAAGCCCCACCTTTAGATAGATAGATAGATAGATAGATAGATAGATAGATAGATAGATAGATAGATAGATAGATAGATAGATGTCTACGCGTGTGCTTTTGAAAGGTCATAAGAGTGTTTGAAAAACAGAAAATACGAAAGAGAAAAAGAATGAGAAAATCGAGACAAAATTGTTGAATTAGAGAAGAGAATGAGAGAAAAAGAAAGGCAGACAGGAAGGAACAGTTGGTGGAAGACATAAACAGATAGATAGATAATATAGAGAGATGGAGAGAGAGAGAGAGAGAGAGGGAAAACGTGAGTGGGAGGGTGCAGCCATAAGCTTGTATATTCCTGTGAACAAATTAAATGAAAAAGATTGGCTAATCAGAAGAAGTAATTTGTTGGCGAAAAGTCGTTTATCGTGGCGAGCATCGCAACACAGACAAAGACTGCGCATGCGAAAAGGGCCTACGGTTGTTTCCAAAACGGATAAATTATACAACTACCGTTATCATTTTAGCTATAATTACATGTACTTAATTTAAGAAACGAGAGAAAAATAAACCTGTATCAAGCGATCTGACGTTGTTTTTCAACTGTTTTTGTTCATTAATTGAAAAGTATTCCGTTGTTCGGCGCACGGAGAGGAAAACTGAAAAGAGGAGGAGACAGAAAGAGAATCGGAAAGAGAAGGTAATAAAAATTAAGAGTCTAAAAAAAAAAGTAAAAGATAGTGTGTGTGTGTGAGAGAGAGAGAGAGAGAGAGAGAGAGAGAGGAGGGAAGAGATGGAAAAAGGGAGAGAAAAAGAAAAAAAAAAGAATAAATGTATATAGAGAGAATGAGAGTGAGTGTCGGTAAGATGGAGAGTTATAGTCACACCTGACATAGAATGGGAACGAGGTTTGACATCAGCAGCTGAGATAAATGAGTCGCAAGAAAAATAAAAAAATAAAAAATAAAACAAACAAAAACAGAAAAACAATAGAATGAAGTAAAAGCGAAAAATATGAAGGAAGTCAAAGAAAGTTTCGAAAATTAGTAAAAACCAAAAAAAATAATTAAATAAATAAAAGTCAAAGCACCCAAAATTAAGAAGCAAATAGAAAAGATTCTGCAGAAACAGTATATATATATATATATATATATATATATATATATATATATATATATATATATATATGTGTGTGTGTGTGTGTGTGTGTGTGTGTGTGTGTGGGGGGGAGAGTAAGTGAGTGTGTGTAGGTATATTCATTCAGGTTAAGGAAGAAATATCAGAATAATAAATAAAAGCAAACTATTTAAACTGCAGATAAATATATATTTATTTGAGTAAGTGTGAATGCAAGAATAAAAAAAAATATGTCTAATAGAACAAAAGAGAAATGTTTTCGATAACAGAAAACAAGAATGGCGTATTCGTTTCACGTTGTGTATAGATATTCATGAGAGTATAGGTGCACACACACACAAACATGGACACACACACACACACACACATATATATATATATATATATATATATATATGTGCGCGTATTTATGTAGATAAGCACATATATATATATATATATATATATATATATATATATATATATAATATGTATATATGTGCATGTATATGTGTCTATACATACTTGTTTATATATATATATATATATATATATATATATATATATATATATATATATATATACGTATATGCACATACAAACATAATTCTATATGGTTATACTATATCTGCCATCACATTTTATATATATTTATATATATATATATATATATATATATATATATATATATATATATATATATATATATATATATATATAAATGTGTGTGTTGGTATGTGTGTGTGCATTGTCTTACCCACACAAACATACATAAAATTTAACTTAGGTTCCTCGAATATGACGTAAATATGCCTTTCAGCTTTTAAATATAAGAATACAATAGACATGTTTTTTTCTTTTTACCTATATATATATATATATATATATATATATATATATATATATATATATATATATATATATATATATATATATATTTTATCCTTTTATATCTATTGTGATATATTTCCCCTGGAGAGCACACATGCACATGCGCACACACACACACAAACAAAACATACACACACACACACATATATATATATATATATATATATATATATATATATATATATATATATATATATATATATATATATATATGTGTGTATGTGTGTGTGTGTGCGTGTGTAATAAAAATCTGTCAGATTATATATATATATATATATATATATATATATATTTATTTGGTTCGATAGATGTGAGTTTTGTGACCTGGGTTTCACGCTTTAGCGATCGTCAGAGCGATTGATTATTAGAATAAGTACGTATATAATATATAAATAATTATACATATATATATTTACTTATATTTATATACACTTTTCATATATATATATATATATATATATATATATATATATATATATATATATATATATATATATATATATATATATATATATATATATATATATATATATATATATGTCATTAGGCCTTAAAGGGGATATTTGAAAAAAATTGTGCGCGGTAAACATTTTGTAAAGTTTCCCTTTTGTATTTAATCATATTTTTTGTTTGTAGATATATTTTATTCATATCTGAATTATTTACACACAATCATTATATTTGTTATATTCACGTATACACAAAGACCCTTGGGCAATGCATAACTCCGCCTCTTCACCTCCAGCTTTGGGTTAACTTGTAAGACTCGTATCCATAAAAAATCATTATTATCTCCAAAGTATCCTTACAATCTAAAAGTATTTTATGGCTTTAAATAACCTAAAAAGGTTGATAAGCCGTAAAAAAAATCAATGAATCACTCAACGTGTACGACTTAGCGATTAATGGACTTTCTATACACCTTAGTCCGAATAAATTGCTTTGTTCCTTAATTAAAATAGCATTTTTAAAATCGAAAATATGGTCGGGTTCATCACGGCGAGCAACTAACGCAATACATCATTTTCTCCTTGAAATATTCAAATACATAAACTGAATACAATGATCCCCCCGCCTATCCGCGTTTCAGAATTCGCGGCTTCACACATTCGCGGATTTTTCTTTTGCACATATGTACTTTTTATTTGCGGAAACCCCAAATATTCGCGTGTTTTTCTGAAGGACGTATGCACAAATTATTCGCTGAGAACTCACTCGATTCGCGTATTTTTGCAATAAAACATATTTAAAATATTCTTGTATTACTTTCCTGTTATTTAAGTGACTTAAAATATATAAAAGTCCATTTTTATGGTAAAAACTGGCAGAATTCTACATCTTCATTGTAAAAAAAAACAAAAAAAAACAAACAAACGCAAAGACATGCGTAGTTCTTGGGCTTTGTTCTTTGTTAGGGGCTGCATCTGGGGTTTTAAAAGTGGCTTATGCTAAGTCTGGGGGCATCATCACAGTTCTGATTTTAGAAAATGTTTTAAACTTTATATTTTATGTCTTATGACACATATTTTATACAGTATTTTCAATGGCTGTATCGATCTATGCGTAATTAAAAACGGATATTGTACGTATGAAAGAAAATTTACGCTAAGTGTATGGTCCCCGATACTATTTTTTAAAGATGTTTTGAAAAGGGTCTGAAATGTTTCTAAAGTGTTTAGGATGGAAGTTTAAGGGCATATGGGGTCTTAACAATCCAAATAGGTACTTTTAGGGGTTTAAAAAATAATTATGCTGATATCAATGATGTTTCAAACATGACATTTCCACATAACAGCTGAGTCTAGTAACTGTAAAACCTTAGGGATCCATTTTACACTATCAATATAATGAATAGGGTTCTCTTCTATATCGACAAGCATCAACATTATTCGATTCTGATAAAGATGTGATTTGAGGAAAGTCTAATATGTTATGCGTTTAGATATTTCTTCATTGACCCAATGTCTGAAAATTTCATAACTTGACAAAGACAGATTTTTTAAAAATAAACTCTTTCTTAATACGACGCACCGAGTTTCCCGGGATCTTCAATGAACATTTTCACAGTCCAGCGGTATCAGCTGATCAATTCCGTCATTTTTAGTAATTAGTTCTTTTTCTTTTTTTTTCTATTTTTTTTTCTATTTTTTTTTTTGCTATCACTGAAGTCATTAAACATTTCTCTTTTTCCGTCAAACCAACCTGCCAACGCATTTCCATTTCAAACTTGCAGCGTTGCAATTAATTTAAGATTTTGAAATTCAGGTTATTTCATAACATTGGCAGTCGTTTGTTTGCATATGCGCAGAACGAACCGGCTTTCATCTTAACTGCGTATCATTTAGCAAAGGAACCTTTTCTTTCCAGTCAGTATTTATCAATAAAACATGGAGTCGCTAATAATTTGAGAGGAAATGTATATAATGAACGGATTTAAATCGGAAAAAGGATCAATAATTTCGACTTAATAAGAACAAATAATTCTATACTAAGATTGCTAAGATCTACGATGAGAAGGAATATTCTATCAATCTCATTAAATACAATTTTAAAAAAAGAACAAATAATTCTATACTAAGATTGCTAAGATCTACGATGAGAAGGAATATTCTATCAATCTCATTAAATACAATTTAAAAAAATAATTATTTCATTTTATTCTTAGTATGTCTCATAAATATAGACAGATACTAAGATATATGTTTTTTTCCCTTTGGGATTCGAATGGAGACATTTAGATCTCAATTTAAGTTCTTTTATAAGTTTTAATCCTTTAAAAAAATAAATCTTTTGTTCACATTTTTTTCTCAGGTGTTCGACTTACTATTATAGGCGTTTTCATCTTGATCAATCAACGGCAGCCAAGCGGCCATATAGATTACGACTGAAGCTGTTCAATATTGCATCATTCACTTTACTTTTGCCACGTGGGGTCGTCAAGACACGCTTTCTCGCAAACGAAACCTCTATCATTAGTTCCATGGCATATGTTCTGACGAGCCACATTCTTTGGTTTAAAGCATCCATGACTTTTGCAACTGTGATCTGCCATGCCGCATACACAATAATGAATCATCCTTATTTCTTTTGTATTCCATTAATAAGAAGTTCCACTCTGATAGCTTTTTCCCAAAAACTGCTGCTTTGTTGAACAAATTCCCGGCAGGGTGTTTTCCTAATCACTAAAATCTTGACCTCTTCAAATATAGGATTATCTTTCCTACTGTTGGATATTGGTTGAGGCAGACCTTTGATCTCACTTCTTAAAACATAAAATGGCTAAAATAAACAAGACGTACAGGTGTTCTGAACGTTGAATAAACAGGCCGCAAAGATCTCCCGAGTGGAATGAAATGCGTGCTTGCGTGGGCGCATGCCAGAAGAGGCGTGGTCACACGAAGATGTGTGGGCATATGGCTGGAGGTGACATGGCCACAAGAAGTTGCATAGGCGACATACCTGAAGAAGGCGTAGTCCCGTGAAGTTGCGTGGGAGTCCAAATGTTATAAAAACGGTCCAACTCTTGGGTTGAGAGAGAGGCTGGCTAGAGTTTAACCGAAGATCTCCGTCAATTCCTGTGTGCACAATCTTAACCTCTGTGATTCTCCCTTTCTCTAGCCAATTGCCGCAACTCAAAAAATAAAGCTATTTATATATTTTTATATATAAGTGTTCATCGCCTTGTTTGAGTCCAGCAAAAATATACAATGTCACAAAATCTCAGGAACTGCACTGCTTTCATTTTCTTAAGCTTATACAACACCACATGGTAAAATTCTACTTTGAGTGGCTCTTGAACCTTATATTGGATGACCAAATGTGATGCGAACTAATTTTAATGAGGGAAAATGGGCTTCTAGCAGTGGGTCACCACTGGACTTGAAGCA